TTAACAAGTAAAAAAGTTTGAAAAAGGTTCTAAACTCTATTTAGAAATTGTATCTACAGAAAAATATATTGTTACTGTATTGCTTGAGATTGTTCAATTGTTGAAAACTTTTGTCATCCCTGCTCTTTCATGTCAGGACTTCAAGTAGCCCTTTCTGGACTATGAACCTGTAATAACCAGAACCTTGTTCTGGTTATTTTGATAAATCCCTGGACTTCTGAATGTTTAGAAATAGCTACATATGAAATTCTTTGCACTTACTACAGTGAAGTGCTATATAAGTGAATTAAGTACTTCTCTAGTCTGTAATGCTGAAGCACAAGGAAGTAATGATAATCTAGGGTTATCAGTTTTACCTACTTCTGATAATATCTGTAACTGTACTATCTGATCATCATTAAAAATGAATTCAGACATGCAAGCTCTTTGTATAAGGGGTGTGCTGGTATCATTATCTCTTCATGTGGATAAGAAACTAAATCCTAGCATTGACTTTCCAAAACCACAAAGGATATCCCAAATTCCAGTTTTGTACTGTACTAACAAGGCTGTTTTTCTCATCATGAATCACTTCCGTGGATCACTTTCCTAAGATCAAACTTCTATGTTGATAGCTAAGGGTGGGAGCAAGATAAGGCAGCTCTAAACTCTATTTGCGCAGACTTATCAAAGATCGGGTGATATGTGGTACCACGTTATCCTGTGGTACCTATTGGTATGTCCAAGTCTTCTAACCTGTCCTTGATGTTTACCATCAAGAATATATATATATTTGTGAATATGCTCATCAGTGTGGTGAGTGTAAACACTGCCTCTCGCCCAAACCTACCCCGTTCCACCTGGAAAAGAGGTTATATGTCTTTGTAACCTGCTACGTGTGATTTTAAAGATATTGTAATACTTAAAAGTTGTGCTGTAGTACTTAAGTAATGTAGTACTTAAAAGTGCTTTAGAACAAAAGGGTGAAAGCAGCTTGTTGGAATCTCAAATTATCTTTTTATTATCTTGAACAAATACTGTGCTGCTGTTTCCGTACTTCTGGATCAGTTCTGACACAGGCAGGGGCACGGCAATATATCCTTTCAAAACAACGTTGTGATTGTGCTGCAACTTGGAGACTTTGCCCTGAGGAAAAACTTGGTTTTTGCAATTGTTTGAGCTCCAGCTACCTGACTCCTTTCCATGTGTAGGCTAAAAAACTCCTACAGAATTGGTACCAGACCAGCACAGATTGACAACCTAAATTAAACTTAATTCTCTCATGCAATTTATGCCTCTTTTTCAACATTGTACTTGATAGAGCAGTTCTCGGAGACCAGTTCAGATATTTAGATTAAGTAATGACTACTCAGCCTGATTGCAGGTGATGAAGTGTTCTGTTTGCGTTAAAACATTGTCTTCACTAAATAATGTGGAAAGGTTTGGCTACTGCAAATACGCAGGGTGTTTTTGAAGTAGCTGTCTTGATTAATTCATGTTATTCCGTTGATTTGGATGGATCTCTCACAATTATGTGTTTTAACAACATCGTATTAGTCCTTAATTTGTATGTCTCCATTATAAATCACACCTCCATCAGAACTGAAGTTATTTAGATTTCTCTACATTTTTCTGGGGGTTGTAGCACCCACACATCTTTCATGATGAAAGACAATAGGAAAAAACAGCGTATAATATTCTGTCTATCCGCAGCTTTTGGGAGTCTATTTTATTGCATTGCAGCTTAGCTTCTTGTGGTGTTCTCACACCACGGTTTTCTCATCAGTTTTTTTGAAAGATCTGTTTGCAGCTCTTTGTTTGACATGTAGGCCCCTGAGTAGCCTATGCTCATGCTTAAATTCTTGGATTTGTTACTGTCTTCCTCTAAAACATGAGAAAATCAAAGACGCCTTCCTTTTGGAGTTTCTGATATATATACTACATATGTAAAAAGCAAGTCATTGGCTTTTGAAAGATTACTTAGATGCACCTCCTTCAGCTTATAAATGGGGTTTTAACTCCATTCTTTTGAAAAGTTTGAATGCATTTTAGCTTGATGAAAACAGATCTTCAAGTTAGTCCTTCTAGGCAGTTGCTGTTGATCTGCTCCCTTTCTAGGGAGATTTTGAAAGCAGGGGACTAAAAACATCTAGATGTTAGCTGTTGACTCTAATCCTTTCTTACTATTGGCTTTTTGTCAAAACTTTTTGCGACCTCTAGTAGCTCAAATTTATTCCCATTTCATATTTCCGAAGATTGTTGCTGTAACTCTGGAGTGCTTGCTGGACACTTAAACAAACAAAAAAGGCAGTATATGGCCCAAACAAGCTTTCTGAAACTTGGCAGAGCTCAGTCTGAGGGCTTGAGTTTCTAGTTTCCCTTCCAGTTGTGCATATCTTCATCATCTTCCTTTTTTGTGCCTCGGAATCTTGTAGTCCCATTTTGCAACTAGTGCAAGAAACTTTGGATTCCCCGATAATGTAGTGAATGGTTTGTCTTTGAGGATATTTTGGCTCATAACTTAGCTTCTCAAAGCCATGTGATGCCTGTAACAAATCACAAGTTTTTCCAGAACTAAGCAGTCTCTTCTAGAAAAGAGGTCAAAATTAGAAGAATTAGAATTTGTATTTTCCTGCTTTTGCCGCTTAATTCTTAGCTATTCTGTAATATGGACTTAGCCCATAGTCTCCTAGAGAATTTTTACATGTGGCTCCCTCTGGAACCTTCACTCTTTTATTGCTTTTAGTCCCTCTTTTTGAGTGACCTTTTGAGTAAATCCGTAAGATCACCTTAGCTAAGACAAGGAATAAAGACCAAACCCAAACTCAAGAGGTTCTGGAAAAAGATCTGCCAAAGTCATTTGCATATCAATATATAACTTTATCTACTTCTTAAAATAATGAGAAATATATCAGAGATCACCAAACCCCTTTAGCTCTCATATAGTCATCATTAGTAATAACTGCATCAGTAGCTGTTCAGAGCCATGTGCATACACAGAATGAGGCATTTGGCTACTTTGAAAAGTTCTTTCTAGTTTTCCTTTAGGTGTCTGTCTATGTACTTTTCTAATTAATGCCAAATGAGTCAAGTTAATACCTGACATTATCTAATTTCAACTTTTGTAATATATTAAATGCTGCTCTTTGTGATAGGTGCTGACCAATGAATAATTTAAATGCTTTCTCTTCCAGAAACATGCAGTGTCTGGGACCTTTGAAGTTCAGTAGTCAGCTCACAAGCTTGCTAGGGCTAACTAATGATTCACCAGAGATTTTTGAGCAAGATTTTTGTCATTAATTTAAAACTTGGAGAGGTTTGCTGCTGCAGCCATCTGGTAATTCTTGGTTCTCTGGAGGAAAGAGAAGCCTTTTGATAAACTAGATCAAAGCATTCTATTTTTTTCAAGTGAGTGATACCTATAAGTAACTTAAAAGCTTCTTAAATTGTTTTTTTAATGCCTGTCTCACTTGCTAGAGGTTTACAGTATAATACAATATTGATCACAAATTTGATTGTAGTAATATTTAAATTGTTTACAAATGTCTGTTCACTGTTAATTATGTCAAGTATCGATCTAAGTATTACTAATCCTAGAAATACATAGTTTATGGCAAATGTTGGTATGACTGGTAAGGTCATACCTAAATCCTTTTTTTCCTTATACTAAGCATAGAGGAAAGATCTCTTAAAGGCTGTTCTGCTATACCATAAGCATTAGATCTAGATGCACCTTTTACCTATAGGTGATGTGTAGTTATACTGTAAATGTATGAATAACTATATACTCTATATAAATAGTTCTGTTAGCAATTAGAATTCTGCCGTTAGGTAGATGTTTGGCAGTGCAGGCCAAATGTACGCAGAGTTTTAGAGCAGGAGGTGTACACCACAGCATGGATTTGATGCAAGCAATCCCAAGAACTGGAATTCGTGTGCGCAGCTGAGTTTTGGCTGGGATCAGGACCCGGTTTCCATTTTGTGAGACACTGCGTGTGTGCAGTTGTCACGACCATGCACGTCCAGCCCTCAGAAAGAGCGAGTTTATAACATCACGAGGGGGGCACAAGCAGCCAAAACGTAATGATGAAATTGGCTCGTCTTGCAAATTGTTTTGCTAAAGGCAGTGTTCGTGAGGTCTTGCGCTGTGCAACAGCAGAGGAAAGGGAGTGTAGGCTTGGAGTGTATTGTGCATCTGCGCATGAAAGCAGAAGTATTTTCTTGTTAGGCGGTGTTGAGTTCACACTAGAACTAAGCCCCTATGTTTGTTCTTTATATTAGCATCTCGCTGCAGTGACTGATATATTGATAGAAGGAAATCACTAAGTCTCTCATGTTGCAGTATCCTCAATTAAGACCTATCAGGGAACTCTCATAGTTGATGAAACTTGAAATACAATTAGGTAGAATAGTAATAGCTTAGTTTTATTTTGATTTAACTGCTTGAGTTATTGGCTAAATGGTATATACCAGTGAGTATCAGCGGGTTGCCGCAAACTTTTCAAACTTGCTTTGCTTCTATTAGCTAATGTGGAGAGGTAGAAGTTCTAGTTTTTAAGAACTTTACTGATTTTAATGTGAAAACTAGATAACTAGTTTACTGATACATTTTCAGGCAGTGGAGTGAGGGCGGTTTGTTGAAGCAATAGCATGTTTTTCATACATCAAAATATGCTTGCAACCTGGTTTTTAAGATGGCATATACATAGCAGAAGAAAATTCAGAGTACCCATGCTTGCTGTTACTGTGGTAAGTTTTCACTTAGCTGTCCAAGATATGTCTAGGGCGCTGTCTTTTTTTTTTTTTTTTTCTTTTTCTTCTCCCCCCCCCTTTTTTTTTAAAGCACACAGACAACAGTAAATTTGTTACTCCATACCTTAAAATCTTTTATGAACTCTTATGTTATGTTGTACCGATGTATCAGATGCATGTGCTTACCTGATTGTTTCCTCCCTTGTCTCCTAGACATGTGCTTCTTCCCAGCTCCAGCTGAACTTTTGTTTTTTCTTTTCTCTTTCCAGTGTGGGAACTTTGCTGTTCTGGTGGATGTTCATATTTTGCCTCAAGGCTCCAGTAGAGACACCAGCTGGTTTTCAGATCATGAGAAGGAGGTACAACAAAAAATCAGTTCTACTTCAAAAGCATGTGGCTGCAGGGAGAAAAAGTTGGATTGCACTGAAGTGCTTGGGATTTTTCAGTGTTATGATAAGAATATTCTAGTTATATCTAACACTGCACAGTTCCTGTGGGACTCCTAAGTCAATAATGTGCTATCTCTTCTTGGGTCACTACATGGCCACTTGCTCTTTCTCTTTAAAGTTTAAATCGCTGTGTAGGTGCCTGCTATTTTGATTTTTCTGGCTTAAATAATTTTCAAGTTTTAAAAATATCTCCTGTGAGTGTTCGTGAATTATCTTATAAACTGTGACAGATACCTCTCCTACAGAGCTTGTGAGTGAAATTCCTTTTTTACTAATTGTTTTTCATCTTCTGGGAAATGTGAATGGTATTGTGCTTAGAGAATAAATGAAAGAAAATGATTTCATGTGCATGCATGATCAAAGAAAGTAGATACTTGATGCCTTGATAGTAGATGAAATCTTGTAAAACCAGTGCATTAGTGACAAGAAAAATTAAGAGTGTAACATTTGTGAGATTATTTGATTTCTGCTGGGATCTTGTGCTGCGTTACTGGGAGGAATTTGTTCCCAGTTGAGCACGTGGGAACTTGGGAAGCTCTCTGGGAGATGCCTGAACTCGGGGCTTGGGATGCCTGTGCGCTTTCCCGCAAGTCTTCGTTACAGGAGTTTTCAGCAGAGAGGTTTTCGAGTAATGGCCTAAATAACTTGTCACTACAAAATGTCCAAGTATTTCTCAAAGTAATGCATTTGTATAAAATCGGAAGAAACAATAAAGAAATATTCTAAGGAAAGCAGGATATTTTCTAGTATGTGTTTAATCTGATAACCAGCAAGAGAATATGGGAAGTTTTAGATTTCTTTTTTTCTTGATGGATGAATACACATTACAGCTTCTACTTATAACTGGCCTTCCTATCCTGGTTATCCAACTTTTAAGTGTTTAAAAAATGTATATTGTATAACTGCCAAAACAAAAGATATAAATTTCAGGAAATTAGCTCATGATTGATTTAATAAAGTGGCAGCATTCATTACGTTTCTAAGTACAAAGATTGCATATTTTCAACAACTGAGAAGTGTGATTCGAATAGCTTTACAATTCACTTCCTCAAAATTGTGTTCAGAGTCTTTGTTCAAGTGGGAAGAAAAAGGTCAGTAAGATTGCAGACAAATTGTGCCCCTATGAAAGTCTGAAAGGAGCCTCAGACTTGAGGCTCATTTTGAGCCGTTTTCAACAGTTTTGCCTTTTGCAACTTGTGCAGAATGGCACTGCAGCCCCACTGCCTGTCCGTCTGTCAGTGAGTGAAGCAGGTGCTTCCCAGAGCTCTTGCAACACAAATGCAATGTCTTCGGAGCCTCGGCTTACACGGGGTGATATTCAGTGGCTGCTCCTTGTAGGAAATGGAGGTGTCTCTGTTTGTCTGCCCTCTTCTAACTTCCCTTGCCTGTCCATCCTACTTCTTTTTTTACCCCTGGAATAATGAAGTCACGACTTTGCTTTGTACTTTGAGCCAAAAGGGTTGGTTTGTTTAATTCTGACTTTTCTTCGTGTCACTGTTATGGTCTCCCCCATGCGTGTGTAAGGTCTCAGCTATATGTTCCTTTTAGCTGTGGGAAATAAGCAGTGATGATTCTCTTTAAAATTAATCTGCTTATAATTTCATAAATACAGGCCTATACACTGCTCTATGGAGGACTATTTAAATATTTCCGTAAGCATGCCAACTAAAATAAGTAGTTTGCATGTAAAGTGCGAAGATGAGCTGCATGCTTATCTTTATTGTACAGAATGAATCAAATTCACACTTTCAGCTGCTTTCCAGACCTTTTCATTTTAGCTTGAAGATCTAGACCCATTGAAGAAATGTGTAATGAGATCCCTTTAATGAGTAAAACAGAAGAATAAGTAGAGCCTGTGTTTTATAAGTGTAGTCTTCAAGCTGAAAGGAAATTATATTCCTTAAGGAGAAAATACTGCTTGTAGTTCATCAAATATATATGCATTGCTGTAATTTAGAGCAATACATTTAACATTTTGTTGCTCTGCATTCTTTTCTAGGTTAATGAAAGGTGTACTTAAAACCAAGTTATTTTGTTTTAGATGGTAATAGTATAACATTGTCTGTTTTCCAAACACTACAAAATGGAAAAGACATATCTTTTTATCCCACAAAGTACCATTTATGTGAGCACATACTTATGCACAATGTAAAATGAGAATATGGAGAGAAAAGGATAAAATATCTGTATATGAATTAATCTGAAAATTTATTTTAGTATTAGGGACATTAATTTTTGTTTTTACTCCATGGCAATTTTGGCTGAAAGACCTTTGTTTTTTTTCTCTGTTTTATATGTGTGTGTGTGTGTGTATATATATAGTTTTTTGTGCCTTGTTGAAGAAAATATGCAAGATGTATATGGCAATGCTTAGGAAGAGAAAAATCAAAAGGAGCGAGAGCAATCAGGTTACTGTGGCCTAGCTAGCTCCATGTGTTCCTCAAAATGCTGCACTGAATTGAACAAAAATATCTGCTGTGTTTTATAAGAATTATTACAGAGGAATTAGTGTTGACAATTCCTGGGAGTATTTTCCCTAATATTCTGCTTGAATTACTCATGTTGTGGCATATTTTTCGTATGTATTATTTGTTTTTCCAGCTTTGATTGTGTGAAAATGAATTTAATTTGCTGTTCAAAAACGAATTGTAGTATTGTAGTTTGTTTCATCTCCCCATTAAGAATTCTTCCATTAAAGACATTCTATAAATACGGTAAATCACATCATACAGTGTGTCCTACATGGATCACAGTGTGCTTCTTTCTTTATTTTTCAAAATATATAACAAAATTATTTGATCTCCACCCTCCGTATTTCTTTTATTCTGATGCTTTTCAGAAATGATGTGCTGCTGCTCTCTGTTCAGTACTTGATCACATATCTGTTGTTTGTTATATGTTAAGGGGGAGATCTGATATTGTTTGCTGTTGTGCATCTATGTGCATGTCTATAAACTGAGATTTATCAAGGCAAATTATCGCTCTTTCAGGAGGTCTGCATGCTGCTAGAAGATGTGGTTGCTTCCAGGGTCAAACACTACTTGGAAGCTCCTAAACAACACGGTCAAGGGAAATCCATGGATCACGCAACGTCTGCTCCTTTCTTTCTAACAGGTAAAATCAATTATTTAATTTAGGGTAAAACAAAGTATTGTAAAACTGCTGTTCTTTACTTCTGTCATGAGAAATTGGACATCAGGAAACCCAGTAAACCCAAAGCATTCATTAGAATTAAAAAGAATGAATGGTATAATCATGGATGCTCCCAAATCTGTGGAAATATTGCTGTTTATTTGGTTGGTCTATTTTCCATTTAAACCCTAACAATTTTTTATAATAGAAATAATACTTGTTTCCTTCTCCTTCTGTGTTCATGCTTCATATTTTGTTATGATATGATAAACAGCATTTGTCACTTCATGCGTTTTACTGCACATTTGGGCTCTAAATGGCTGGCCAATTTTTTTGTATAATTTTATTGCAATAGCAGGTCTGATCACAAAGTATGGGTGGGGGCTCCTACTGTGGATAGGGTGTTTTCTCTTGGTGCCATGACTTGATTATTGCCAGCTTAGAGTGCTTTATAAACCTGACACAGCAAAAAAGGGAAGTAATAGCTGGGTGTTTTTTACATTTGCTTAAATATATTGAAATCTGTCAATAATATATTAATTCTGCAGTGATAGTAAATACATGTTTTTGTTACGCCATTACTATATTGTTGCACATTTTTGAATTTAAGGTATATGATTTAAAAATCATAATTCCGAACAAATTCTTTGCCTCAATGTTTTGAGTTACCGTATATGTATATTGCTGGAAAATGCATTTGGTGGTTGTAACATTAAACATTATTATCAGTATTAACATGAATTATTTTTAATAAGGAAAATAGATTAAATACTGTATTGCTGGTTCAGTATTGCAGTCAAGATTATTGGACATCTTGTAAAAATGTGTTGGGAGTGCATGGGGGCGGCTTTGCTATGGCACAAGTGTGGGTTTCCCCCTGCCCCCACTCAAGTACAAAATATAAAATATGCAAAAAGAGCCTAGAGCCATTTAAGGGATTTAAAACTTTTTTTTTTCTCCCCTGTGAGTGGGAGCTGCATTTTAGCCCTTTAAAACATTGTAAATATTTGTGAAACATAGGAACTTTGTTTCCTGCACTTTTCTGTTTCTTACTAAATAATTAGAATTTTCCTGCAGTGAAAGCAGAGGGACCTCGCAAAGTGTGAGAAGAAAAATTATTCAGTGAAGGTGATTTTGTTTGTTTTTAACTGAGTGCCTATTTTTTGTATTATTTATTTATTTCCTGCCTGAATAAAAAGTGTTTTTAAAAACAAAACAAAAAAGTGAAATTTACCTGCCAGACAAGCCTAACTTTTATATATACTGATAGATGCACTAATTTGAAGAGAGTCTTAAGATTTTTATGGTTTCACATTTTGCTTTCTATCACAAACTTCAGTCAGAATATGGGTCCGCTGCTCTTGGAGGTTGTATTTTCCCTTATTTCCAGAAAATAAAAGGGCTTAAGTAATGAACATGGAACAAGGTCATCAATAGTGCCTGCCACTGATTACATATTCGTGTGCGTTGCATGAGGCAGATTTACTGTTCGATCAGTTTTGTGCAGTTAGTATCACTGTCATTAATTTCCACTAAAAAATCAAGAAAGCAATTGGGGATAACAAACATTCATGTGGAAGGAACAAAACTTTTGATCCAGCTCTTTCCTCCTCTTTAAGCCTGTGTTGTTCAGGGCCATCACGTGAAGGAAAGGGGTGTTTCAAGCCCAAGAACCAAGTTTATTCAGGGTGTATTCATGTCTACACTTAACCTGAGACAGGAACGGAAGGGACCAGGTGAAGCACGAGGTAACTGGCCAGTGCTTAGCCGGCGGGCCCTGCAGCACACAGGGGAACGCGCGGGCTGCGCGCGGGCCCGGCTGCCCCGCGTTCCCTACGTGCTGCCGGTGGAGCGCTGCAGCCCGCAGCTGCTGATGCGTTTGGAGGCTACTCGGTGCTGTTGAGCTCTTCTAGCTGAGTGTGGTTTCTTATGCTTACAAAGCATGTCTGTGTCTAGAGTTTCACTGCTGTGAAATCCCCACTGCAGAGAGGAACGTTTCAATGGAGGGAATTAAAATATTTTCTTAGCTGGTTATTTACTACATGGAGTATCCCTGATCTGCACCTCACTTCTGTTGAACTCATGTATTTTCAGGTCATGCTTAGTTACTTATTTGTTCTCCACTTTGCAGACTGTACTCAAAAATTACTAGAATCAGAATTATTAGTCCACTCTTAGTAGAAATTTTAGACTGCCTTTAGCATTGAAGTGTGCTGTGTCAGGATTAGAAAGCTGTGTCAGAAATAAAGTCAAGCTACTTCACTTGATCTGGTCTTGGTGTCTGCAGAACAGAGGAGAGACTGCTACAATGGCTACCATAACTATTTTGAAGGGAAAATCAGCAGGTATCACAATTTCTGTTTATATTATGTTTCATATTAATAGTATTTAATACCACCTTTCAGTTTTACAGCACATAAAGTAAATATCCATATTTGTTAATTTACTTTTCTTTTTCATGTAAGTTACACCCACGTAGCAGTGTGTGGTGGGTCGCATACCATCTCATTAGGAAATCTGTGGGTGTTGTACATAGGAGAAGAAAGGAGGAAAGAATTGAAAAATGAGTGAAAGTAGCCAAGACAAGCAAGTTCTTCCTATTCTTCCTTCTGTCTGAACAATTTCCCTGCCCCTCCCAAATAGCCAGTGTGAACAATTTGCCAAAGTAAGCTTTAATATAATCTTTGGACATAGGCTTTGGTGTAAACTCTGTACTTCCTGTGTTTAATTAAAGTCCAAATATGTTTGATTCTGGTTTATTTTTTTTTTTAATAAAAAGAGAAAATTAAAATGTGATAGATTTTACCAAGATTTGATTTTGCCTGCATCCAACCTGCATGGACAAAACCATGCAAAAAGGCCATTGTTTTTCAGTAGCATTATTTGAAGTGCAATGAGCATAAATTAATCAGTAATGAAAGGCATGTATTAGTGATTTTTGGTTATTCATTTAAAAACAGTACTTAAGTAATTCACAATTATATAATCTTAAAAGTTACAGCTTGTGTTCATATATATGCAGTACATTTTCACTTTGCACTTCTGGTACTGCTTGATAATGTACTTTTTTCAGTAAACTTGTTAAGCACACAATACTCTGATATAAAAAGATCATAGGCCTGAAGATGACAAAAGCAAAGCCTGTTTTTTTTGTGCTCTGCAGAAGATGGCTCTTTCTGATTAAGAGCAAAGAATTAAGTAACAAGGGGACTGAGTGGAGATTTTAAATACAGGAGGATGTTAAAGGACAAACTACAGAAGCTTCAGGCAAAAGGCAAAGTTTGCATGCTAGAGAGGAAACGACAATGAGGATGTGTACAGAAAATATGGCTAGTAGAAATTTCCGTAGAAGAAATGGAAGGGAGGAAGGTTAGCACAGCTGACAGACACAGCAGTTTGCACAGAGGATGCAAAAAGGCACCTTTGTTTCCAGTCCTGGCAGTAGCCGCCTCCTCGGGCCCAGCTACAACCTGTCCCAGAGAACCTTCCCTGGGTGGACTCGATGGTATCAGCTGGTCAGAGGTTTTCAGCCGGACAGGCCCTCTGAGAACTGCTGCAGCTGCCCAGGTCTCGGGCTGCAGAGGGTCCTTGGGGCCCCTCCGTGAGGCCTGGGCTGATGGTGAGCTCTCCCACAGAAGGTGTGCTGCTGGTGACGAGTTGTGTCATCACGGAAAGGAGCTGCAGGGTGATGTCAGTCATCTGTGTAGCACCCGAGATGGTGAGCAAGCGAGAGGTGTTCTTGGAGACTGTACGCCTCCAGGGGTCCCGGTGCCCACTAGCAGTGGGATTGCTGGGGGACTCTGTGTAGAGTGAGAGGGTGCCCCATAACACCGTGGAAGGTAGCTGAGAACGGGTCGCTCATAGGAGGAACAGAAAGGCACTACTCATCCTGACGACTTGCAGGCTTGGTGCCCTCTGGGCTGAGGAGGAGTTGGGCATGACTTCAAGGAAGCAACTGGGCAGACAGACCCTTTGCCATGCAGGAACACCCAGAAGAAGAGTCGAGTGATTGTTGTGGGTGACTTCCCGCAGCTTGAGACAGCGGGGCCCATCTGCTGAACTGCCCTCTTATCTAGAGAGGTTTGTCACCTCTCCAGAGGCAGGGGCTCCAGTGTGAGGTGTCATGCAAAGACTGCCAAGGCTTGTCCACGTGTCAGACTGTTACCCCCTGCTGCTCTCCATGTGTGCACAAGTGGCAACAAGGCCATATTGGAAAGGAGCAAACAGGATTTCAGAGCTCTGGGGAAGACAGTCAAGGGTCTGGGAACCCAGCTTATTTTTTCCTCAATCCGGCCAGTGAGGAGGAAGGATGGGAGGAGGAGTAAATGGATTTTTTCAGGTTACCAAATGGCTGCACTGCTGGTGTTGGCAACAGGGTTTTAGTTTCTACAACCATGGGAATCCTGTTTGAAGATCAACAGCTTGATGGGGAGAGATCCACCTTGCTAAGCAGGGCACATGTATCCTTGCTAACAGATTGGCCAGCCTGGTAAGGAGAGCTCTGAATGAGGAAACGGGGGAGGAGGAGATTTATAGAGACAGGTAGTCAACAAAATGTGTCTCAAGTTGGGATGGATGAAGAGTGACTCAAGAACTTATGGTTAAGGCACATGGGAACAGTGAGGTTACAGAATGCATGGTAATCTCCACTGGCTCAGGAAAGAGCCATGTCGAGAGTAGATGCAGGTTGGGAGAGTCTTGGGCAAGATGTTACATATGTTTTTGTGTGTTTTTATTCTCTCCTTGTATCCATTTTTAGTGACTTATAAATGCAAAGCATTTAACTACGTGGACCTTTGATCTGGCACAATATGGCCTTTTTGTATGTTCTTGCCATCATACTTTTTTGGCAAAAGCCGGCACTGTTATCTGAAAACATCAGTTTGTGAGGAAAAAGATGTTGTGTTTCAAAGATTGTCAGAAAAAGTGCTGGAGTTACAATATTCCAGGATCTATGTTTGTCTTTTTCCTGATACATGCAG